ACTGAAGGAAGAAGTCTAAGCTGCACTGAAGGCACTGGAGAAAAACAAGACTCCAGGAATTGGCGGAATACCAGTTGAGATGCAATACTAATAGCGTTCACTCATGTATACCAAGAAATTTGGAAGACAGCTACCTGACCAACCTACTGGAAGAGATCCATATTTGTGCCTATTACAAAGAAAGGTGATCAATAGAATGCGTAAATTACCGAACAATATCATTAATATTACACGCAAGTGAAATTTTGCTTAAGATAATTCAAAAATGGTTGCCACAGTACATCAACGGGGAACTGTCAGAAAGTCAAGCCAAATTCAGAAGAGGAGGAGGAACAAGGGATATCACTGCTGATGTCAGATGGTCTTGGCTGAAGGCAGAGAATACCAGGAAGATATTTACCTGTGTTTTATTGACTATGCAAAGGACTTTGACTATGTAGATCATAACAAATTATGGATAACATTTCGAAGAATGGGAATTCCAGAACACTTAATTGTGTTCATAGGGAAACTGTACACAGAACAAGAGGCAGTCATTTGAACAGAGCAAGGGGATAATGCACGGTTTAAAAACAGGAAAGGTGTGTGTCAGAATTGTATCCTTTCACCATATTTATTCAGTCTGTATGTTGAGCAAATAATCCGAGAAGGTGGACTATATGAAGAAGAACGGGGCATCAGGATTGGAGGAAGACTCAAACAACCTGCGATATGCAGATGACACAACTTTGCTTGCTGAAAGTGAAGAGGACTTGAAGCACTTACTGATGAAGAGCAAATCCTACAGCCTTCAGTGTGGATTACACCTCAACATAAAACAAGCAACATCATGATAAATGGAGAAAAGGTTGAAGTTGTCAAGGATTTCATTTTACTTGGATTCACGATCAACGCCCATGGAAGCAGCAGTCAAGAGGTCAAATGATGTACTGTATTGCATTGGGCAAATCTGCTGCAAAAGACCTCTTTAAAGTGTTAAAAAGCAAAGATGTCACTTTGAGGACTAGGGTGCACCTGACCCAAACTATGGTATTTTCACTCCCCTTATATGCATACGAAACCTGGACAATGAGTAAGGAAGACAGAAGAATTGCTGTGTCTGAATTATGGTGTTGGCGAAGAATATTGAATATATCATGGACTGCCAGAAGAATGAACAAATCTGTCTTGGAAGAAGTACAGCCAGAATGCTCCTTACAAGGGAGGATGGCAAGTCTTCGTCTCATGTATTTTGGACATATTATCAGGAGGGACCAGTCCCTGGAGAAGCACATTATGCTTGGTAGAGGGTCAGTGAAAAAGGGGAAGACCCTCAATGAGATGGAATGACACAGTGGCTGCAACAATGGGCTCAAACACAGCAACAATTGTGAGGATGGAGCAGGACCAGGAGGTGTTTCATTCTGTTGTACATAGTGTCACTAGGAGTCAGGAACCAACTCCAGGGCTCTTAAGAACAACAGTAACGTGCCTGTGGTTATAATCCCATTTGGGAATGGGTTGTCTTTGTTGTGTTAATGAGGCAGGATTAGTGTAGGGTGTATCTTGAGTCAATCTCTTTTGAAATATAAAGAAGATTAAACAAGCCAGCAAAAGAAGCAGAGATGGTGAAAGAGAGATGCCAGCAGATGAAGATCACCCAGGAGCAGAAGCTCAAAAGAGACAAGGACATTCCTCCAGCGCCCACAGAGAGAGAAAAACTTCTAGCCTCCTAAACTGTGAGAAAATAAATTTCTCTTTGTTAAAGCCGTCCACTTGTGGTATTTCTATTATAGCAGTACTAGATAACTAATATAGAATTTGGTACTGAGAGAAGTGGGGGTGCTGCTCTAAGAAATACCTACTATGTGGAAGTGGTTTTGGAATTGGGAAATGGGTAGAGGCTGGGAGAGCTTTAAGGTGCCTAATAGTAAAAGCCTAGATTGCCTTGAAGAAACTGTTGGTAGAATTATGGACATCAAAGGCAATTCTGATGAGGGCTCAGAAGGAAGTGAGGAGAGCTATAGAGAAAGTCTCTATCATCTTAGAGAATACATAGGTGCCAGCAACAGAATGTTGCTAGAAATGTGCTTCCGGTAAGGCCATGGTCTCCTGGATCTCAAAGGGTGGGGCCACAGCCTTCTAGGTTTCAGAGTCAGATCTTCCACTGGTTCTGGACTGTGGGGCTGCCGTTAAGGTGTGTCAGGGGAATGGGGTTGCTACCCAAAGCTGAGGCAGCAGGGCTGCCATGCCCAGGGGGCAGAAGAATGCGGCCTGCCGGGGCTGAAGTATGGGGTTGCCACTCAGATGGACTAGGAGAATGGGGCCGCCCAAAGCCAAGGGAACAGACCTGCTGTCCCAGTGGGCCTGAAGGGGAGAGCTGAAGCCCAGGCTGAGGGGCCTCCACCCAGAATCCAGAGGGCATGGCCAACACCCAGAATCTGGAGGGCGGGGCCATTGCTCAGATGATCTCAGAGTAGAAAGGATTATTTTCAAGCCTTGAGAGCTAATGTAATTTGTTCTGCTGAGTTTTGGACTTACTTGGTGCCTGTTATTCCTTCTTTCCCTCAATTTCTCCCATTTGTAATGTAATTGTCTAGCTTGTGCCTGTTCCATCACTGTACTTTGGAAACAGATAACTTGCATTCTAGATTTCACAGGTTCCCAGATGAAGAGGAATTTTGCCCCAGGATGTAATACGCCTAAAGTCTCACCCATATTTGACTTAGATGATTCAGAAGATGAGATTTTGGACTTGGAGTTCAATTAAGACTTTTGGATGATGTGATGAGGTGAATGTGTTTTGCATGTGGCAAGGACATGAATTTTTGGAGGCCAAAGGGTGGAATGTTATGGATTGAATTATGTCCCCTAAAAACAGATGTTGTAAATCCTAACCTCTATGCCTGTGGTTATAATCCCATTTTGGAATGGGTTATCTTTGTTATATTAATAAGACAGGATCAGTGTAGGGTGTATCTTGAATTAATCTCTTTTGAGATATAAAGGAAGTTAAACAAGCAGTGAAAGAAACAGAGATGGGGAAAGAGAGATGCCAAGCCACATGAAGATCACCCAGGAGCAGTGACTCAAAGGAGAGAAGGACCTTCCTCCAGAGCTGACAGAGAGAGAAAGCCTTCCCCTAGAGCCGGCACCCTGAATTGTACTTCTAGCCTCCTAAACTGTGAGAAAATATAAATTTCTGTTTCTTAAGGTCATCCACTTGTGGTATTTCTGTCACAGCAGCAGCACTATGTAACAAAGACAACAAAGTACAACCAAATTTTTTTAAAAAAGGCTGAATGGAGAACAATGAATAAGGAACACTCACTTGGAAGCAAACAAAGAAATTAATTGTTAATGAAATAAAGTAGGTTTTGTTTTGTATGTGTGTGTGAGGGGTGGGTGGGTAGAGATAGATAAAGTTCTCAAAAAAATTGAACAGGATGGAATATCATTTAGAGCTTTAGGACCAGAGCAAATGAAAAGTGCAAGTTTTATGGGGTGGGGGAATATATCACTATACAATTGTGGGGGCAAACGTACAAAAGGTTAACATATTGTACATGTTAGAAAAGAGGGATGGAATTTTCCAGACCCTTTGATTTAAGAAATGGTTTAGTTAAGGAAATTTGCAAAAGCTTGTAACATGAATTGGTGGTATAGCAAACTTTTAAAATTAAGTGAACAAAGCCAAAATGGCTTTCACACATGTTAGCATTATACTACCACACCTGATACTTAACCTGATAACACTCTTCATCTGGGTAGGTAACCTTGAAGGTGATGTAGATCTTGATCCTCGAAATAGAGGTGTTGAAAAAGAGGTAATATATGATCTGGAGAAAGCAGGCGGACTCCCAATTACACATCAAAGGCCACAGCAGTTTTAACTTAACAATTTGTGTTTCAATTGTACTAGCTTTAGTGTTCACACCCCAACTCCAAGGGTAGAATCTATCGCAAGCAGGGTGGAGTGGCTTTCCAATTGCATTTATTTTCTCCTGAAGCCGATAGATCGAATGAAGATTTATATTTTAAGTGACAGGATTCAAATGAAACGTGACAAACCTGTAAAAGCTACAACCCGAACATGTCAATGCAGAACTTTCCAGTGAACTGAATGGGCCTGGGAGAGAAACTACACACACTGCCACACTGGACTGGGCAGCTGGAGAGATCAAAGAGAATACCCAAGGGAAGAGCAAGTCCTTGCTGGCTAAAGTGGGTGCTGTGGCATTTCACATAGATTGCCATTCTGTTTATAGATAAAATTATTTATCTTGGGCTTGCCTTTTTAGGGAAAAATTTTGTGGAGATACACAGCAGTGGCTGGAAAAGTATTAGCTTTTTTTTTTTTTAAGTTATCAAATTTATAAAGTAGAAGCATTAGTTTTGAAACTAGTCATTGAACTGGAATTTAATCCTGACCTAGTTCTCAATGCTGGGTGGTAATTATTCTTATTTACCAAAGGCATAGAGAAAATCAGTGTCAAAAAGGCAGGGAACAAGTTTAACAACTACATTTAGATAGAAAGGTTAGCTTTGTAAAAAATATTTTAGACTGTCTTGCTGGAGGACTCTGACCACAGTGTATGAACTAAAACGAACTTAAACTGTTAGAAATATTTCCACATTGCAGATAGTAAGTTAAAGATCCCCGATGAAGGAATAAGGAAACATGAGACTTAGCAGAACCCAGGCTTTATTATGGCATGTCAGGGTGTCCACGACAGCTTGTCTGGAAGTGACTAATATAGAAGAATGAATGAATATTGTCTTACCCAATACTTGCACTAGCAGTTCTCCTTGGAGTTATCATAGCCCCCACATAACAACCACAGGTTGTTTTTTATAATAAAAACAAAACAAAACAAACCCATTGTCGTCGAGTCGATTCCAACTCATAGCAACCCTACCGGACAGAATAGAACTGCCCCATAGGGTTTCCAAGGAGCAGCTCGTGGATTCGAACTGCCGACCTTCTGGTTAGCAGCCGAGCTCTTAACCACTGTGCCACCAGGGCTCCTTTTTTATAATCAGGTAAGCATCTTCTGAATTAATCTGGTAACCAAACCAGTTGTATTTTAAATTGGTCCTAAAGAAAATATGTAATTGGAATAGCTGTTAAGACACAAAGAAATAGCTAAACAAAAAACCCGCAGTCCATCACTGTATATTATTCTGCATCATTTATTAAATATTTATTTGTATGTATGCATTTACAAACTTTAAGTACGCATTTCAGAACTCTGCTTTCAGTACATTTGTAAACTTTTTTTTCTGCAGAGAAATTCTCTTGTAAAATGAGATCCATGTACAAAACTAGGCAACAGAAAAGTTTCCTCTCACACTTTTCATCCATCAAGAAATCATGTGACAAAGAAATAAAACCAAAACGTGGCTCTTTCACAAGAATAACATGTCAGTGTTCAACTGTGAATTCTAATGGGATATGTCATCTTTATATGGACGTATATAGTTTTAATACTTCTTAGCGAAGGTAGCATGTTGGTTCTGATGAAGGAAAAAAAACTCTACTGTTTGGATTAATCTAGAAACCATCGACTATTCATTTCTTTATAACATGATGCCAAAATTCACCCGGGAGATGACACTGATTGGCCAGCGGTATGACATTTATCCCCAACTTTGCATAAAAAGATCCCTTTAAAAAAATTCATTAACTTCTTCCCGAGCTAAAGTCTGAGCCTCTAATTTGGCTCGCTTATTTAAAGAAATAATTAGTTTAAATGATCAATTTAGAAGCTTAAAAGTCTCTTTGAAACTAAAGTTGCTTTTCTTAAAATGAATGCTGACTGAACAGTTCATAGACTTGGAGCATTATCACTGGGACAGAGGCACTAATGCCACTAGCAACAGGACACAGCATCACCACAGGATAATTACTACATGGTACAAACGGCCCAGGGGCCTGAAACTCGCTATGAATATAGTCTTGGCAGCAGCATTATTTGCTATTTGACCATTTATTACACAGTATTAACACACCAGCTTCAAAGGTGTGCACTCCCTCTAGGACCCTCAGGAGTTACAAATTTATTGTGATTGCATAATTCGTACTGCACAGTTTTATAAAAAACAAATACTGGCTATTCTAGTTTTAAATACAAAATACATGTCATATACTTTTTAAATCTATAATCTGGTTCAAGTGCAAATCAGGTGCTTTCTTTAGTCCTTCCAAAAAAGGCATTTTTAATATTTGTGGCAGGAATGAAATCTCATCGTGCCGACAATTCTAATTACAATACGTATATCCAAACCTTTAGAGTAGCAATCATATACATACAGTATAAAACTGAGTATTTACAAATGTACTAAGCATCAATGTAGCCTTAGTGGGTGAGTCAGAACTAATTAGCCATACCCACACTAATAATAATTAAAAAAGGTAAATACAACTGCTTTACTTCATTGACTTATGCTGGTTGCTGCGGGTTGACATTCATGTGAGGAGGATGTCCTAGAAGACCGATTCTTTGTTTCTGCTTCCTTTGTTCTGTCATCTGGAAAGTTAAAAAGTTTCTTCATTAGACCCAGACACTTCCTGTACGTCAAATCATATACTGAACCATAGATTTACCTCTGTGGTTATGGTTTACACTGAAACCCACTTTCTACAAATAACGTACCGTCACTATATCAAACACACAGAACAGAACTTCAAAAAAGGGCATTTTCCTAGGCAGAACGGGGAATTCTGTGACCTAGTCATGCAACGTGACATTCAGAAGTGTTGCTCGCTGCTTGTTTCATAAAGAAACAGAAACCAGTAAAAGCACAGGGTTTCTGATTGCTTACAAAATCCATTTCCAAATGATTTAAAGACTCATTGGAAAAGGGTGGCTTTTTAGGATAGTCAGTAACAACACGCGCTACTATCAAGAAAAGCAGTGTGCTTAGAATCCTAGGTTTGGGAGGAACTGTGCCCACACTTCAGTGGGTCCTGATTCCTCTCTCCAACGACTCTTGAGTAGTTAGTTGGAGAGAAAAATCTATATAGCACATCTAGGAAGATGAGAAACGCCCCCATGTCTCACTGACATCCAGCAAGATTAAATACCACAAAGGATACTTTGGCAGTCAGTAGTGAGTATTTCTTGCCACCAACAGACACTGAGGATTGATTATGGTCAGGAAAAACCATTTCCTAAGACTGGTTCAAATGAAAAAGTGTTTTTAAAACCCAAAAACAAGAGGTTGGGACTATTCATTTGGCTGTTGAACTAAATCATCTCTCATACTGATGGGTATTAGCTCTGTTCTGGGTATCTTAGGGCATACTTAAGATTCTCTATGTTCAGATTTTTCTTAACCCAGTTGGTCCTAGATCTCTGGATTTTGAGCCTGGGCACATAAGTCAATTAAGATAAAAGGCTATATGAAATATATATTAGATACAATTATTGCCTACAGATGGTCCTACTCCTAGATTTTTGGTTTCCTAAAATCAGAGTGGACTTAGGGTGGAGTAGTGAAAAAGAAAAAGTAGGCTTTGGAATCAGATGGACCAATTTCCTTATGGTTTTATGTTATTTAATTTGTCAGAGTCTATTTCTTCATATAATTAGGAAGATAACTCCCCGCTCATAGGTGGAGAATTGAGAATGTATGTAAATTTCTTTGGCCAGTGTCTGTCACACAATAGGTGCTTTAATCTCAGTTTTTACTTGTACTAATCTTTGGTACAAAATATCCTGAGAGAATATAAAACAAGAATAACTTACCTACGTTTGATTGTAAAGTGGTTATTTTCTCTTTTTCAAAACATAGCAGTTTTCCTTTCAAATAAAATACTATTTCTAGGCTCCTGTGGAAATGCTTTCTCAGTTATAATTTAGATGAGAGGCTATACAAGGAGTGAATATTTCCAAAAGGTAGCTTTCAATGAAGCTTTTTGTAAAGAATTGAATTGGAATATTCTAGCTAGCCGCTCAAGTTTCCTTAGATGAGTGACAAACCTTTAAAGGATGTATTACACACTGTATTATATACTCTACAAATTCAGCTCAGGAGGGAGAACTTGATGTGACACGTGGAATAAATCCACAATTAGATTATAATGCCAGTAATACATTCACCTTATTGCCAGATGATTTAGATACTGGCTCAGATTTTTTTTCTAGCAAATAATCTTGGGAGGGAATCCAATAGAACTTAACTAAATTTTCATAATCTCAAACATTCTAATGGATTTAGGAATCTTGGTGGGCTCAACCTCTAAGAATACTTTATTTCATTGCTTCCATTTAAAGCTACTAAGATCTTTCAACTGTCAAAGCTGGTCATTAAGTTTTTTTCCTATAATTTTGCTTTAAATAACTACTTGTATTTGAGATGACTTTTTATGTGTGCATATCTTCATTCTTGTTTGTTAAAATTAGCTCTCCTTGACTTTTTAATGTCAGCTATGCTATTATTCTCTTAAAGTCTCTAGTATTTTATTCCCTATAGTCAATAAGTCTTCAATATATGGTATGTCTTCCTTCTCACTCCCACAGCCATCATCTGACACCTCATTGCTGGCCCTGTTCTAATTCTCTAGGTTTGTCTGCCTAAGATAGTGATCACATCTTAGGCCCTCTCTCCCTCATAAATCTCAAAGCTCCCTATTACAGTAGGTTAGTGGCCACATTCCTTGCTCAGGCAGTCATTTTCCTGGTAATTTCAAGTGTTTAGCAAGTATCTATATAATTTTGTTTTCTATTCCCCTAGGACAGTGCTTCTTAAATGGTAGCATGCACCACATGGTTTGTTAAAACACAGATCAAACAGCCCCACAACCAGAGTTTCTGAATCAGTAGGTCTAGGGTGGGGCCCAAGAATTTGCATTCCTAACAAGTTCTCAGGGGATGCAGATGTTGCTGGTCTGGGGCCCAGGCTCTGAGAACCACTGCCTAGAAGAGTTTCTTAATGATTATCTTCAAAATAGGCCAAGATTACTTTGGGTGTATTTTAACATACTGGGACACATTAAAAAAAAACATTTTTTGGAACACATTTAAAAAAAAAAAAAGTGTTTTGAGTATACATATCATTTTTGTCAAATGAGGTAAGGTGTTGGAGAGGATTCCCTCCAGTTGAGCACAAAGTAGGAACACAAATTTGACTGTTTAAATCCTATCTTGATCAACCATGGCCTTTTAGACAGAATGGCCGTAATTTAAGTAATGTCACTTGTCTTAGTCATCTAGTGCTGCCATAACAGAAATACCACAAGTGGATGGTTTTAAGGAATAGAAGTTTATTTCCTCACAGTTAAAGTAGGCTAAAAGTCCAAATTCAGGGCATCAGCTCCAGGGGAAGGCTTTCTCTCTCTGTCGGCCTTCTCATCAGTGTTCCCCTGGACTAGGAGCTTCTCGGCGCAGGGACCCTGGTCCAAAGGACGCGCTCTGCTCCCGGCACTGCTTTCTTGATGGTATGAGGTCCCCCCGTCTCTCTGCTCACTTCTGTCTTTTATATCTTAAGACATTGCCGCAGGATACAATCCAATCTTGTAGAGTGAGTCCTGCCTTACTAACACAACTGCCGCCCATCCGCCCTCACTAACATCATAGAGGCAGGATTTACAACATATAGGAAAACCATACAATACCAGGAATCATGGCACGGCCAAACTGATACACACATTTTTTGGGGGGACATAATTCAAACCATGACATTCCACCCTTTGGCCCCCCAACAATCACATCCTTGCAACATACAAAACATATTCACCCCATCATATCATAGCAAAAGTCTTAACTCCAAGTCCAAAATCCAAAAATTCCTCTTCATCTGTGAAATCTAGAATACAAGTTATCTGCTTCCAAAGGTACAATGGCAGAACAAGCACAAGCTAGACATTTCCGACATTTCCATTACAAATGGGAGAAACTAGAGGAATAGAAGTGGTAACAGGCACCAAGCAAGTCAGCAGAACACATTACATTAGCCCTCAAGGTGACTGATAAATGAGAAGGAATTGGGCAAATGTTAAAATTTTTGGCCCTTTTGACAGTGGTCATCATCCAGTTACAACTATTAAAAAAAACAAAAAACAAATCCATTGCCTATGAGTCAATTCTGACTCATAGCAACCCTACAGGACAGAATAGAACTGCCCCATAGGGTTTCCAAGGAGCGGCTGGTGGATTTGAACTGCCAACCTTTTGGTTAACAGCCTGAGCTCTTAACCATTGTGCCACCAGAGCCCTGAATTACAACTATAAGGGAACAAAAATAAAAACAAAATCCCTAAGGACTAAATCTAGCCTGTAACTAATCAAGACCAACATTTCTGGCCAGTTAGGTTTTCCTGGCCCATTAGTGCATATTCTCATATAATTTCTGGCTTTATTAGCTCAAATCAATCAATCTATCAATCTATCTCTCTATCTCTATCTCTCTATATACTCACCCAGTTACACACACACACATTGTCTCTCTCTCTATATATAAATATATATAATCTTGTCATGAGGGATCACTATTATCCATTACTGTTACCTGATATCAAAACAAGTAGAAATAGTGACCAAAGTCTATCCTTAGCATATTCGCAAATAGCATTCTTGATAAAATATCCAACAGATTCAGATCTAAGGTAACTATATTCAAAATCTAATATTGAAACACCTATTCTGAGTATAGTGAAATGTCCCATTTGTAGTAGGGGCATGTAAAAAACAATCCTGAAAACTCCCATTTAGCAATGCTGTTCTTCATATTTACATAAGTATAGAACAAGCTTGAATTTGAGTATTCCTCCTTTAACCCCAGTCTAACCAAGAAACAAAAAATATCATAGCATTACAAAGCAGATGCAGCCAAACATCTGAAAGATGTTTCATAAAAACATAAAGCTCAGAGTCCAAATGAGCAAAAAAGCAATCTACAAGTATTGGCCTCTCAACCGTTAAAGGCTGGCACACCAAACAAGTTTCACCGAAAGTACATGTATGCCACAATCTGGTTTATTACAGATCCGAGTAGTCTTTGAACGGCAAGGTCTTGCTTACTCAGATTCTAAACAGCTGGGAAACTCTAGTAGCCAGAATTAATTTTTACAGTCCTATAAAATCAGTCATGCTCATAAAGACAGGCCTAAAATACTGAAAAGTAAACCCAAAACATCCCTCGAATAAAATCATACTGATAGCAATTTCATAGAAATGTACAGATACTGCTCAGGTCCCTAGAGTTGATCCTTCCTGCTCTATTCCTCTCTTTCACCTGACAACCTTTTCCAGGCTGGAATGCAAGCTCCTGCATGACCACCTCTGAGGAGGTTTCTGTGGGAATGACGCTAGCCCTCTGCCCAGGGGCTCGTTGAATTCCCAGAGCTATCTGTTCACAGCCCTATCACATACTTACCAGGCTGAATTATAACATCTCTGTTTACCTATTTGTCTGCCACTCTAGACCCTTAGTTCCTTGAAGGCAGAGAACAGGTTCTATTCATCTTTTTATCCCCACTCCCTAGCGCTGCACCTGGTAATAGATGTTTCATAAATGCTGGTTGAAAGAACAGGTTGAATTAACCAGAACATATTGCCATTCCTTGAGCATGCCACGCATTTTCATGCCTTTGCTCATGCTGGCTCCTTTCCAGAGATGCCCCCTACTGCATTTCTCTGCTATCTCAGAAGTCCCCTGCTTGTAAGACTACAGAAGCTGAGCTCCCGCCTCACTCCTCAGTCCTCATGGGGCACTGCCTGCTTCTCAGTGGCCCATGGCACTTTATTCATGCCTCAGATCATAGCACTTGTCACACTGCATCATACTGTTAGAGGTCTACTTCTCTGTCTTTCTTGCTAGATTATGGGATCCTAGAGGGTTCATGTTGCCTTGGTCCTCCTTTGTGGTCCCAGCACAGGGTAAGGAACATAGATATTCAAGAAAGTTTGTTTAATTAATATTCCATTTTCCAACTATGGGTAATTATTCTAATCTTAAACCCTTCCTTAAACAGTCAGTATTATCAAGATAATCCTTCTGCATGAATAATGCCAAACATTATAACATGCTACTATGGTTTGAATTTTCAAGCATTTCTTGTATTCCTAACAGAGACACACCAATCAATATGGGTCACTGTCCTATAGGAAGCCACTCATGTATTCAGTAAAGTGAACCCTTCTTCTCTTAATATTTGCTCTTTTGAATTATGAAGAAAACATGCAAAAAAAAAAAAAAAACAATTTAAGTTCTTACATTAGTCCTCCTCCTTGGAATAAGAATGTAAGAGAATCCCATTTAGTATTCAGAATCTCTTGGGAGGGGAAACTTCGAGATGCATCATTAAGTAACACTTAGAATAGCCATTCTAGTCAACTGGCAATAATAGAAAAAGTGACACCACTAAGCAGGCTTTTTACTAACCCCTTAATAAGAACTTTTGTTTTTCTCTACCCAAACTGGTATTTTCAAGAGAACCATCATGAAAGAGGTCAATAGCAGTAAAGATTAAAATCAAAGGCATCCACATTTAAGCTATCATTGCTCCATTATGCGGCTTTTTGGACCAGAAGATCTAAAAAAATATCTCAGTGATGAAGCAATTTTTGTGTTTTCCAGCACTTTTACCAGTGAATGGTATTCTTTCATAGCCATTTTAAGAAATGTCTATCACAGTGTTGCTTGCTCATTAATCATTCGTGAGACTTTAATTTTTAACTCAGAAAATTTTCCCTTTATCAGACGGCAGGAATTCTCACAATTAACATTTCAGAACCAGCAGTGCTCTCACATATCTGCATGATTTTTTTATTCATAACAATTTATGAAATCTTTATGATTACTATAATGCCAAAGTTAATAAAATTCAAGTCTACTCAACAAGCTGATTCTCAAACAAATACATTCAAGGTTTGTTAGAAGTTAACTAATCAAAAGACAACTTACACTAGTTCCTTTTGAAAGAAGCAAAATGTTCCCAATTAAAAGCAGCTATGCTGAACTTCTCCTGTAATTCTGGGTACTAACTTAAAACTTAAGCAGATCAATCCTGGTAAAAGCACTTGAGAATTTATTACCGGTTTCTCCTACTTTTCTTTAGCCTATACTATCTTCCAAGAAAAAACTGGTTCAACTTCAAATTCATTTACAGGGAAAGGGCTTTCCAAACAATGGTTTAACTGCCAACATTTAAAACAAAAAATGGATAAAGGGCTTAAACCAAGTAATTTAAACCAAACAGGTTCTAATGTCACTTAATGAACCTCAGTCCATATGTAATCAAGTTTCCCATATTTTGTTTAAGCCAAAACTTGGGCTTCATAGAAAAAATTCTACCTTGGATTTAAAAGATGCCAAGTATCTGCTATGCTGAGTTATGTAAAATGGCAATGAACGTATCCTCCCTGCTGTTTCAGTGCATGCTGTGATTTCTGAAACTTTAAGGCTCTTTAAAAAAAAAAAAATGAGTAAGAATTTAAATAGTCATCCATGACAGGCAAACAGGATGCAAAACAAAAACACATACAACGTAAAAACAAACCCAGAGGATCTGGAGTGCCAGCGCTAGTGATGGCATGTGAAGTTGGATAAACTTCCTAAGAGCCTTCCCTGTACCTTAGCATCCTCATGAATAAAAAGAGGGAGTAGGGGAGAGAGATCATCTACAGCCCTGGTACTCTCCTCTACCTATGAGTCTTTCTGCTAACTCCTTGGCTCAACTCACTCCTTTGAATAAGGCTCACTTTGCAAAGTATGTGTTGCATGCAGCTTCAGCATTACACTCAGCAAATAATTCTAAACAGCAGATTCTTAGTATTGAAAGGACAGGCAAAGCCTAGGGAGAAAGGTGTGCTTGGTATTACCACTACAGAATACCCAATAATGGTTTGCTTCGGACACATTTTAAGAAACTCTCTAGTAACTTGGAAACAACCAATTTCTCATATTGATAGAAACATGCCCCCAGAGAGCTTCCAAGTATGATACTGAGAAACAGTAATGAGTGAGCAAGAATGAATTTTGCTTGCATTGGCACACAAGAGCTACAAGGCCTGAGATCTTGCAATTCTGGCATCCTGGGCATGAAACAAATATCATTTGTTTCTTTGAAAAATGGTATCAGGCTTGATGGACAATTAAACAGTTCCTGTATTAAAGCCTGTATCAGACTGGTTTCTCTAAGATTTTTTGGCACCTAGTTAAAAATATCCCATTTAACCGAGATTCTTGTAGCCATCTCAAAAGGGAGAAGAAGATATCTGAAGCATTGCTAGATGCATTAGGAAGCTTGCCTTGCTCTTCAGGGGGGAAAGACAAGCAGCTGTAGCCAACCACGTAGTCATGAATCAGTTTTGTCCTGTGGAGCATTTGTCAAATGTTTCACAGCAGGGGTAAAAAGTTGATAAAATAATAAGCAAAGTAATCTAGTTAGATAGTCATTAGTTTTCCTTATTTAGGTTATTACTCATTTTAGGTGGCTACCAAGCTCAGGGTTGTAGACAGCTTCATAAATAAAGACTTCTTCTCTCATTAGTTTTTTTTATTTGCATGTTAATTCACGTGAAGGAAAAGAACTTGAGGCCAAACGGTATGGTGGGGTACAACTTGGAATAGTCTAGTTGGAAAAGAAATATAATTCAAAGTAGGATTATTAAAAATCCTCTGTAAACCATCTCCAGGAAGAGTTTATTCTAGACTGGGTCTTCACTAGTTATGATGCATGGAAGAGCGATAAATCACCTGTGGGTGTATCTTGCAACTTATCTCTAGGGCACAACTGCCTGCTACCTATCGTTGTGCAAAATTTATAATCTTGTCTATGGAGTTGATTAAAAAGCTTTCAGAAGTTCACACAAAATGCTGAACTGTTCCCATGTCTGTACGTGATTATCCCATTCAGTGAAAGCAAAGCACTAATAAAACCAAGATATAAGTCTGCTCACCATCCAGGTCTCACGTCCTTGACACGCAGATGCATCTGAACACTAGATAGATGACTAGTGACTGTGGGGTATTAGTTTTAAGGGGGTCAAGAAGGGGAACGAGTACATAGAGTTCGGTATAAATCCTCCTCCCCAAATATCCTTCAAAGAGCAAAGCATCTATATTATTGATAGGGAACAGGATGGGGGCAGGGGGCAGCATTTCTGTAGACTATTAAGCTCTGTGAGAGCAGGGATCATGTCTACATCATTCACTGTTTTATCTCCAGCATAATGCCTGGCATATGATAGGCACCCTAAGTATGTGTTTGGCAAATAAATGAACCAAAAAGAGCTTTTCCATGACTACGGTTTATCCCTGGTCACTGGATTTAAATATCTTGGGTGAAGTGTTGATGGATTTGAGAGCTAGGAAGCAAAATCAGTAAGAGCTTTTTAATCTCCTATCAGTGATTAACCTAAGTAAAAAGGGTATACCTTTACGCATCCAATTTTTTGTACAGTACTTCATTAAAGTAATTTGCATTTTCCCATTTTCTGGTTTTGTCTTTCATATTAAAACCTTGTCCTTAAAAACACTAAAAGTAGTACCAGGGGCTTATTCAGTTAAAGGAGAGTGAAGGGGGGAGGAAGTGGAGACTATTGCAGTAAATGAATTTTTCCTCCGTTGCCAGGTTCTTTTCAGTCCAGGAGAACTGCTCCAAATTTCAACATAAGCACTACTAATTTATTCTCATCAAATTTGGTGTCTGTGCGTATGTGTGTGTGTGTGCGCGCGATGTGTGTGTGGAGGTGGATGAGATTTTGTTTCTTTACCTGATCCTTTAATTCTGACAGCTGGCCAGAAAGATTAGTGACCAGCTTCATGGTGGACTCCAGCTTCTCCTGCAGGTTCCGCAGCTCATTCTGTTCTCCGTCAGAATCACTGCTGACCAAGGACATGGCTCTCATCCTAGGGAACCAATCAAGGTTTCGTTCCTAGAATCCACATTAAAAGAAAAAAAGGAGTCTGGAGTCAGTTCCAGAGGTAGACACAAGACAGGCAATCTTCAACCTCACCATGTCATATTTCTAGGTGCCATGTCTCATTAGGTTGGTTATCTGTTGCAGAACTAACATGCTGGGTACTTCTAGAAGCAGCATACTGGGAAAATGGTTTGCAAATCCTCTGAAAGTGAAATGAATTTTAAGATCCCAGGTGTTTTGTTACAGATGTTTATGTGTACATCTGCTTGGGAGAGGATGGTGAAGAGGCTGAAAGTGGGGAACAGAGAGCTGGTTCCCTTCCCTGTTGGTAAGCTTGTGGAAACCACTCCTCTAACTCGTGTTTCCTCTTCTGTCCAGCCTGAAATGGTTGGCAGGTGCTGTGAGCTGGGATTAAAGAGAACCAGTCAGTTTTCTTTCCCTGTCATTGCCATCCTTTTGATGTCTCTAGCCTATACCTAAGGAGCCCTGGTGGCGCAGTGGTTAAGCAAAAGGTTGGTGGTTCAAACCCACCAGCCGCTCTGAAGGAGAAAGATGTGGCAGTCTGCTTCCATAAAGATTACAGCCTTGGAAACCCTATGGGGCAGTTCTACTCTGTCCTGCAGGGTCACTAGGAGTTGGAATTGACTCAACAGCAATGGTAACAGGGAGCCTATGCTTGTAAACAGTAGTTTCTCACTACTGATGAACAGAAGAGGACAGGACAGACTTTTCCTCCCACCCTACTTCCTTCTGCCCACATATGCCTTTCTCCTAAAGAGTATGCCTCACAAGTCCTGTGCAGAGAGGCAGAAATGAGCAGTAAGAAAAGCTTAATCAGCATGAGATAAGGGGAAGAAGACTGACTCATCCAGATCTAATTAGTGTTATGTCTTGCCTGGCCCATTTTGATCCTTCAGGATAAATTTAAAAACATTTTAAAACAAATCATGTCCCTCCCCTAGCCCCCTCGCCCCAGTACACACACAAAAATAATTTGCTGTTGTTGCTTTGTGTACACCAGGGGTCACCAAAATTTTTCTAAATAGTAAATATTTTCATCTTTGTAGGTCTCTGTCACAACTACTTAACTACTCTGCAGTTATAGCCTGAAAACAGCCATAGACAATATGTAAATTAATGGCATGGCTGTGTTTCAATAAAACTTTATTTACAAATATCCAGTGGCAGGCCAGATTTGGCCCACTGGTCAGAGTTTGCTAATCTCTGTTGTACATGATAGAAGGCATCAACGTACTTAAAATCAAAAACAATATTACACAAAACATATGTAAATATTATAAATCAAGTGACACAAGTATACTGTCTTGACCTGAGGCAAGCCAGCGATACAGAAATCACAGAAGAACAGGTTGAAAAATACTACAAAGAAAGCACACTGCATTGGCAATGTAGCATCATGCCCACTTTAGGGCGTTTCCTTAAGACATGTGGGGAGTCTAGTGGGTGGGAACTCACTAGCCTGTTACCTTAGTATAGTAATTAAGACGTAGTAGGCATTTAATAAATATTTATGGAAGGAAGAAATGAAAATCATCTCTGTTTCCTGCTTGGGGTCTGATGACAAATGTTTAACTCATAAACCTGAGTAGCTCATAATGACTGCTAGATATGAAAAGTGACAATCTCTACCTTCTTATCCACCACCCATCTGTCAGTTTGTCATACTGAGGTGGCTTGCATGTTGCTGTAATGCTGGAAGCTATGCCACAAGTATTTCAAATACCAGCATGGTCACACATGGTGAACAGGTTTCAGTGTAACTTCCAGACTAAGACAGACTAGGTAGAAAGGTCTAACTATCGACTTTTGAAAACTAGCCAAAGGAAACCTATGGATCACAAAAGAACATTGTACAATTTGCTTGCTTTGGACATGTCATCAGGAGGGATCAATCACTGGAGGATGACATCATGTCTGGTAAAGTGAAGGGCCAATGAGGGTGAGGGAGACCCTCGGTAAGATGGAGTGACACAGGACTGGGCAACATTTCATTCTGTTGTACATGAGGTCGCTGTTAGTCAACTCCACAGCGACTACCAACAACAACTTTCCTATACCGAATACCCTGTGATAGACACTTAATTCACATGTGACTTTATGTTAGCTTGTATTCATCTTAATCAATTTTCTATCCCAGAGCAATGGGCAAAAGACCATTGGACACAATACCCCCTTTCAAAGATGATTAGTTTAAAAATCTGAAGTGTTTCCCTGTGTGTAATGGATTTTCTACTGTGTATCCACAATGAAAAAGAGAGGGAGAGCAGGCGTCTGAAAACATTTAAGGGTGGTACAGACACCGAAAGGCAGCTGAGGTGACCCATAACTGATTAGACTGATGGCTTCTGTGTCAATCCTTCAGTCATATTCACACTGTCCCACCAAGGAACTATCCCGAGTTCAAGTCTGCACGACCATAGAGTCTGAGCAACTCTAAGGGAGGAATGAGTCTAATTTTTCAGAAGAAGGCACACGTGAGGGACAAGTGGCTGGCGCTTACTCATTGTTACGGGGACAAAGAGGCCCCACTGAAGGAAGAGAGAGGGCGTGGGCTGAGGTGAAGAAGCATTAACCCAAAGCCTAGTTTCAGAGATCATATATCAGAAGGTCGAAAAGCTGTCAGAGGTCCCAGATATGCACAGACTGACCCTGAAGGAAAAGAAGAAATTGAAGAGCAGAGATCCAAAGTCCCACTGAAACTCTCCAACTCTGAGGAACCTATGGATAAATCACCCACTGCAATGGGAGGGAATGTGATGCCAGGCGGGAATGGAGGTCACCGATCCTACTGCTGCATTTCATGATGCAGAAAACTAAAGCCCTGGAAAGTCTTTTGTCCTCAAGGGACAGGACTCATTCCAATTTTTTAAAGGGGATCCTGAGAACGGTCTCATGTTTACAGATTGTAAACTGTTGGTATTGAGTATATTTTTGGGGGAAATATTCAGTATTTCTTTTCTTTTTTGACTTTACAGAATAAATTTTCTTTTCTCACCGTCCAGGAGGCTAGAAGTCTGAATTCAAGGTGTGGCTGTAAGGGGAGATCCTTCCTTGTCTATTTCAGCTTCTAGTAATGGCAATCCTTGTCTTGTAGATGGATCTGTCTCTGTCATTGACCACCCCACCCCATATTTGACTGTGTCTATTGTGCACTTTTTTTTTTATTGTGGTAAATATATATGTAACAAAACATTTACCATTTCAACAACCTTCACACGTACAGTTTAGTGATATTGTGTTCATCATGTTGTTTAACCATCACCCTTAACTGTTCCCAAATTTTTCCATCATGAACTGTTCTTTTGATTCAAATCAATAGTATAAGCACTATCAGCCTCCTTGGAAGATGATATTTTTAAAAATATAAGAAATTCAGCAAACGCTTAAGGAGCACCCCATTTCTCTGCTTGCTGCCGAGCATACAGCAGTGAACATCTCAGACGTGGCCCTTGCATGTCTGGATCTCCTGGGAATGGAAATGGCTTTGATCCGGAAAGTATGAGATAGGGCTCCTGCCATCAAAGAGTGTGTAATTTAGTTAAGGAGAGAGGACACCTAGATTAAAATAAAACAAAAGAAACAATGGAATACAGCAGGCTATCGTTGTTGGGTGCCGTTGAGTCAATTCCCACCCAATGTGACAAAGGATAACTTCCCTATAGGGTTTTCTTGGTTTTAGTTTTTATGGAAGCAGATCACCAGGTCTTTTTCTTACCGAGCCACTGGGTGGGTTTGAACCACCAACGTTTCGATTAACAACTGAGTGCTTAACCGTTGTGCTAACTTAGCCACAGTGTCTGTGATGGGCTTGGAAGAAAGGTTAGCACTTTGCCAACCTAGGGTTAAGCATCAGGATTCTCAAAAGACAGTAGAGGCACGATGAGGAAATCAGTTTGGCTGAAGTTGGGGATTAGAGGAGAGAGGTAAGAGTAGCTCAGACTGCAGAATCCCAGAGAATTGGTCAGAGGTGTGGGACAAATTGGAGTAGGAGAGAGACTAATGACACGGCATGAAATGATGAAGGCTGGGACAAGGGGGCTGGCAGAGGGAGAGAGAAGGAAGGAAATGAGCTGGAGTCCCCTCGAAGGCTCAACAGGCCTAACTAGATAGAGGGAGTGTAAGAGACGGCCATGTGCAAACTGCTTTAGGGAACGGCTGTAACTCACCTGTAACTAACTTATTACTGACAAGCAAATGAATGCTAAACTGTCTAAAATGGTTAGAGAATTAATCTAAAATCTGGCGCTCCAGTCTTTCATATGTTCATTTGCTTAGCAAACCCTGTATAAAAATAGCAAACACAGATTTCCAAACAGAGTCTGTCCACACTAATGAGGTCTTCAAAAGAATCCAGAAAATCAACGCACTGAAGAGTCTGCATGCAGCTGAATATTTAAGGAACAGTTTCCCTTCTTCATTCTAATAACAAGTGACCAAATTACCATAGATTAAAATGAGAGTTTTTCCATGGTATATTCCCATCTTCTTTCATAGCATATGTGACTCCTGGCCCCCAAAGCAACGATTTCAGAAAGATCTTTGAACAAATGCAAAATGCACTGACTTCCTCCATTCAACAACCATTTACAGAACATTTACAGATTTCTGTGCAGTGGCAAAAACGGTTAAGCACTCAACTAACCTAAAGGTTGGCAGTTGGCACCCACCCAGTGGCATGTTGGAAGAAAGCCTTGGCAATCTGCTTCCAAAAAGATCACAGCACTGAAAACCCTATGGAGCGCAGTTCTACTCTGAAACACATGGGGTCGCCACGAGTGGGAATTGACTCGACACCAACAGGTTTTTTGTTTGGTGCCAGGCACAGGGCTATGTGCTAAGGATGTAAACATGAGAAAGACAAAGCCCCTGCCTTCAAGGTGCTTAGAGTCGAAGGACTGCGATCATGGTGCAGGTCTTAGGGCATGGTGCTTTGCCTCTGTGGAGCTCCATGTAGCCCCAGTGAGTGCCTACTAAGTACCTGCCGAACAAGT